AGTATATCATTTACTTCATTTACTAATAATGTTGAGGAGTTAATCAGCCACCTCCATGTTGGTAATGATCCGAAGAAGATCACTATACATACATCATTCTATAAAATGTATTAGATTAGCCAGAGATTTATCTTGAAGAACTCGAAAACTTGCTGTGGTCAGAATAAAAGCAGATAATCTTCTAACAATCTAATTTTGCGATGAACTTAAACAAAGATTTCCCCCGCTGCTGATTGCTTCATTCAGCGAGCAAGTACCTCCTTGTATTAAATATAGGTATGATTCTTACTTGCTTCCTACAAGCATTACGAACATGTTCCGCAAAAGAAATCCAATGGAAATGCTTCAACAAATTAGAGAACTCGAAACTGAAACGAGTATTAGAGGAGGAGAAGGGCCTAACTCATGATTGGAGTCAGCTTGTACATAAATTAGTCCTTCAATCTCCCCAACTGTGGACGCCAGCTGCAATGGAACATTTATTGTATTGTACTTGTTCCTTTTATCGCATATTTAAGCCTGCACACAGTATCTCAATTCAAAGTTAACAGGTTTTTAGTGAGCTCATTCTGTAATTGGGAGAATCCGCGGTTTCATCCTTCCAGTTCCCCTTTCCCAGCGCAGAGTGCGATTTGCCTTTAATATTGCGTTCAAGTTTTCTTAATTATGGTTGGTTGGCAAGACATTTGATACTGCCTTTATTTTCTACGTATAAGAATTGTGTCAGTGTGCGATATGATCAGTAGAAATGAAATAGTCCGCTCACTTTTGTGAATAAGTCAATTGGCTTCGATAGCCAATATTTTTCATGTGAAAAAATCTCTGGTTCTATCTTCGATAAAATATAGTTAATGATCGATAGAAAACAGAGGCTGCCTCCAACTAAACGGTTAGTGCCACGTAATGTAATAGCTCACAATCTCAAGTACGAAGCCTTAAAAATCTGCAAAATGTAAAAAAATAACATAGCATCCAAATCTTTGTTTAAGATGCTATAAATAACAATCATGGGATCGAACGTGACCAAATCATTTGAAAAAAGTTTGGTGGGGATTGATTAAGGGTGTCCGACACTAAACCTTATTCTGCACATCATATTTGTAGTGATGTACTCACAAATAAGCAATTCTTAAAACTGCAGTACGCAACCCATAGAAGAATTGTGCGCGCGACAGACAATTATGCGTACGGCGGCTACGAAATTACGGTATCCCCGGCTTGCCCCGATCGGCAGGCGATAGGGGAGATATCCCCGGCTATCGGTGGGCGTGGCCTCTCCCCGAGAACTGTCGGGGGGAGCATAGC